CCAGGTCCTCCCCACTGCCTCTTTCCTACCATGATTCATACCGTGTACAGCTTCTCATGCGTGTTCAGTCCCCTGCCTCGACAGTCGCCTGTCTCTTCCCCATGTTTGGTCCCATTCTCTCAGAGTTTTACTGTTACCCAGAACCGTGACCTTGGCCTTTGCAGAGAGTAGCAAAGACCTGTTAGATCTTCAGGAATAGGTCACACAACATGTAAAAAGAATACAGTTCTCATTAATTTCACATTGAACATTCACTTTTATCTCCCAAATTTTCCCCTCTAGAAGCCTCAAAGGAATGCCAACCAATTAGATCCTAGGTAACACCGTCTTAATGTCAAATTTATTTTTGGTCAATTATTAGAACAAAGTTCTCCACATCACTTGCTACAGAAAATGTACTTGATGTGTGTCTAAAAAGGAGGCTGAAGACTGCCCTTGATACAAAATATAAAGAACTCACTTTATATTGGCAAAACAGTTGACAGCTTGCCCATCTATATAATGCAGCTACACCCTCCCAAATGCCACTGAGAAGTTGTTGAATAGACACCTGTCCAAAAAATAAGGAAGTGTTGGAAAAACCAACGAGGCTGGGGAAATTTTTATGTATACACAAAAACCTAAATTAGGTTTTTAATAGTCTTATTCTTGGGGCGCCTGGGTGGCTCAGTTGGTAAAGTGTCTCTTGATTTCGGCTCAGGTCACGATCTCATGGTTCGTGAGATCAACCACAAGGACCGCGCGGAGCCTGCCTGGGATTCTCTCTCCCCTTCTCTTTCTGTCCCTCTCCCACTCTTGCTCTCTGTCTCTCAAAATAAATAAAAAAAACATTACTAGGGAGGCAGCTTAGACTGCCCTAATTAATACACACGATTAGCAGTTAATCCCCTCAGCAACCCTATAAAATTGTTGTAATTATTATTATCCTACTATTAGAGGTCAGGAAACTGAGGCACTGAGAACTTAGGAAACTTGGCTAATACGTTAGGAGAAGCCAGATTCAAGCCAAGCAGTCTGGCTCCAGGGTCCATGCAAACTTGAGACCCTGCCAAAAAGCTCAAAAGAAACAGTTATTCTTGTGTGCTACGCCGCCCTGCACCAGATTAATTTTTTACAGCCACCACCCCAATCCCGGCAGGTTAGTGACCATCGCCAACAGTGACCATCCCAGTTCAAAATTGTACACCAAGTTTAAATTCCAGCTCATAAAGCTAAACTCTACAAAGGGAGTCCTTCTATGCTGAGATCAGAAATACCATCACATCAAACCAAAGCTACCAGTGGGGGCTGGCGGGGGGGGGGGGGCGCGGGCGCAGCAGGGCCAACAGGAGCTGGGCTTATACAAGCCAAAGGGGGAAAAAAAACCAGTCTCTCTTTAATTTCTCTCATCGTGCGACTCAATAATTAATATTTTTACTGAAAGCAGAAATGTTGGTTCCAAATTCTGAACGTGGCCAAGAAGACATACTGGTGGAAAATATGGAAGATACGAGGGAAGACTAGAAGGACTACAAACTGCAGGGGAGGACAAGGAGGTAGATAAAACCATATGGGGTTTTGGAGGCAAAGGACCAAGGTTCGAGACTCAGAGACTAAGAGGCTCTAAGGACACAGTTCCCAGTTCCATAGCATGTCAGACACATATATAAACAGCAACGTGCTAAGAAAAAAGGAAACAACTTCAAACATTTGGAACCGTCTTATGTTCCAGGAATGTAGATGAATAAACAGACCGACCTTAACTTAAAAAGGAACTTAAGTTCTCTCTAGTATGGAAGATCTGCATATAAATATGCACATACAAAATGACACACAACTAGCATTTATTTTCTGTGTATCAGATACTGTTCTAAGCTTATTACATGCTCCATAGATCAACTAATTTCTTCCTATGAGCCTGGTATATTAATAACCTAACTGTACACATGAGGCACAGAGAGGTATAAGTCATGTGCCCCAAGACACACAATTAGTATGTGAACAAAGTGGATTAGCAATTTTAATTATATTCAAGTTATAAGGGATCTTATGCCCTTGCTAAAGGGTCTGAACGTCATCCTACTGATCAGCGGTTCCCAACTGGGGCTGGTCTATCAAAATATATACATGTACCAGGCCCCTCTCGGTGGCGGGAGAAGGCACTCCCACTACTGGGAGGGGGTCCTACCCTCTGGGTGTTGGTGTAAACAAGCACAAATGGAGAACTACTTTTATAAAGGGGACGGGGAGCCCCTGGGCTCAGGGGCCGCCACCTCCGAGAACACACACCAGGAAAAAAATGTAGCTGTGAGTCCAGTCACACTAGTTGGGAAGGTCCTGGCTTCCCAGATATTTAAGAGAATATGTTTTAAATTTAAATCCACCTGAACAGGTAAGCCCACCATCCTTTTCCCGCGTGAGCTTGAAGTGTAGATAATAGTATCTGGCTACAAACTCAGATACGTCTTGGCAGAATAATTAACACACCATGCTCCACCGCCTCTGCCCCCTCACTGCTTTCAAAATAACTGTATTTAAAAGGGTGTCTTCCCCTATTTGCATTTCCCATATACAGGTTTCAAGAAGAAACCAAGAGTACCGTTTACCAAAGAAAAAGAAAAAGAATATTCTTTACCACCATTTACCAGGGCCTTTTTCTTCCCCCTTTGAAACAACCATCCTGGTACCAGTGCAATGTTTTGCCCATGCGGAATCACAGGGCAGCAGAAAGCAGCTCACCTCTTGCTTTGCAAATGAAGAAAATAAGTCTCAGAAAAGGAAAACAACTCGCCCAGTGAGTATAGAACTGTGACTTGAACCCTGGGTCTCTCTCTGCCACCAAGCCCCGGGAGAGAAAGGCTTCCGGTGAGTGGTAAGCAGGGCCTTTTTAGGTGGATCACAGTCTTTTTTTATTTTAATAGTTATGCATATGAGAAATATAATCACCACACCTCATCCATAGTTTCAGATATTACTGTAAGTTGTACTTAGTAAATAATACACATGTAGGGGCACCTGGGTGGCTCAGTCAGTTAAGCGACCGACTTGCTCAGGTCACCATCCCGCGGTCTGGGAGTTGGAGCCCCGGGTCTGGCTCTGTGCTGACAGCTCAGAGCCTGGAGCCTGCTTTGGATTCTGAGTCTCCCTCTCTCTCTGCCCCTCCCCTGCTCCTACTCTCTCTCTCCCTCTCCCTCTCTCAAAATTTAAACATCAAAAAAAGATTAAAAAAAAATAATACACATCCAGCACCAACACGAACAATGGGAAGCAGCATGCAAGGAACTCCATTCTGAGAAACAAAGCACCATGCCCCTACACTTCTAATTGAAGGGTTAAATTAACAACAAGCAGAGCGGTAAGCCTCTATCTCTTCCACTCTAAATCATACACTTAATTTTTTTCTTGTCTTGTTGTATTGGCCAGGGTCTACAGTATAAAGCTGAAAAGAAACCATTACTGATAGTATCCTTATCTGATTCTAAATTTAATGCTACTTCTAAAGTTTCAATGTTAAGTATCATGGGGTTTTGGTGTTTTGTTTTTTTTTTTTAGAACTTAATAGATAACACTGTTTTTTGAGTCTATGGGAATTCCTTCCTATTCCTAGCTCAGTGAAATTTGTGAACACTGATCAGTGACCCCACCCTTCTCTCTCCTCCCCTCTCCATGCCGCCGTCCACCCTCTTACTTTCTCTTATTTCAGGTTCCTTCCTACATCCTCTGGGCTTCAAAGTACTAGATCTGCCACCCAAACCAAAAGAATCTTTGAAGATATTCTGGGGGTGCTATACCTGTGGGCTGTTTCAGTTCCCTAAACCAAAACGTTTCTAACTAACACTGATAACCGAAAGAAAATCCTAAAACAAACCCGGTTCTGATCATTTCTTCCCTCCCATCTCTCAAACACACCCCTCAATGCGTCCCCTTCTTTAAAATAAAAAACTCGGGGAGGAAAGAAAAAAAAAGAACAAAATTCTTCTAGATTCCTATTAACTTTCCAATTCAGAGCCTGGCTCTGAAGAAGTCCGCTTAAGTGACTAAGAGAATCTCAGGGATTTTGAAGTTTTGAGGGAGGCAGCAGGAGCCAGATGTTGTAACTTCTACTCTCCCTCCTTTGCTAAAATGAAAAATATTAAAAGAAAATGGGAAAGAGACAGCGGTAATTATGTGTAAGCAAATAAGGTGCGCCTGGGATATAAAAACCGACAAGACCAGAGAGAGAAACCAACCCTTTAAAGCTCAAGCAAGTTATAAACTCTGTCCCTCGTCAGTTTTTCTCAAACAAAAGGGCGCACACAATCCTTCCCGAGGCAGCAGCACCGAGCGGAGCAGCCAAAATGTTGCATCATACAAACCACTCCGAGTTTGAGCAACAAGAAACCCCGATGATTGGTAAAACACCTAAGCCAGGAAAACCCAAGTTGGGAATCTCGGTCTTTTCCGGAAGCCCAGGAATGTCTGCTCTTTAAAAAAAGAAAAAAAAATGTTAAGACTGCCTTGAAAATTCAAGTTACAGTTTCAAGCCAGCGGGAAGCGAAATGCTCTTTAGGAAACCGTTCCAAGAAGTTGGGTTCAGCGTCTCCCGACTGAGAGGCTGCGGGCCCCGGCCGGGGCTGGGGGGGGGGGAGGGACCCGGGCCGGGGACCGCCGGGACCCACCCCTGCCCGGGGCCCGGGGCGCAGCAGCTCTTCCCACCCAGACGCGGGACGACGGTCCGGCGTCCGCCGGAGCCCGCGCAGCTGGAGACGGTGACCGCCGCCCCGCGTGCGGGCTGCCGGGGGTCCCGGTCCCGCCCCGGCTCCCCAGACCGGCCCGGGCGGCGGGAAGGCGCGGGTGGGCCCGAGACAATGGGCCGGGGTCGCGGGAGCACTGGCTCTCGGCCCGGGGAGCGGGCTCCGCGCGGGGGCGCCGCGGGGGCGCCGGGGCCGAGGAGCGCCGGGTGCGCAGGGACGCCGCCCCCCGCGGTCGGGCGGACGGGCGCCGGGGGGCTCGCCGCGGCGGGACGGCGGGCGAGCGCTCACCTTGACGAAGAGCTCGATGACGGGCTCTTTGTCCTCCTCCTTCAGCCCGTTCAGCGGCATCGATAACGCCATGGCCGGCTCGGCTGCGCTCCGCGGGCGGCGGCGGCTTCTCCTGCTCCCGGGTTACTCCGACGGAGGGTTCCCGCCGCGCTGCGCTGCGCCTCCCTGGACAGTCCAGGCGTCGAGCTCGCCTCAGCCTCGGCTGCCCAGCACCGCCCCACGCCCCGCGAGCGACTCGGAGGCCGCCCCGGCGCGAGCTGCTTCTAGCCGCGGGGCGGGGCCGGGGGCGGGGCCGGGGGCGGGGCCAAGGCCCTGAGCCTCCAGACTCTGGAGGAAGAGGCTGCTGGAGCTCGGGGGTGTGGCCTGGGGCTGGGGCGGTAAAGCAGCTCAGGCTCGGCCCGTAGGCGGGCGAGACTCCGAGCCACGCCTCCCGAGGGGGCGGGAGGGAAATTCCCCCCGGGGGCAGGAGCCTGACACCGCCTCCCACCGCCGCGCGGGCGCGTCCTCGCAGCTGCTGCTGGCGCCCTGCCAGGTGACCTCACGCCATCGGCTGGCCTGGGGAGGCGCGGAGGCGCCTCCCGCTCTGCCCCGCGCTGCAGCCCGCTGCACTCGCAGACCTTTCCCCCTTTCCCGCAGCGGCCACCTCTCCAACTCCTTCTGTTAGGCGGAGCTGCCTTCCGGAGGGACTTTTCCGAAAGTTTTCATCCACTTAGAAACACCTTTTTTTTTTCTCTCTCCTCTGACTTCTTCCTTTTTCCTCGGACTCTCCTGTCACTTCTCTATCTTGGGACTCAGCATATTGACAAATACTAATGAGGCCCTCGTGTGTTCCAGGCCCCACGTGGTAAACAGTAGGGACAGGATCCCTCTCCAGAACCTACAGTTTTGAACTGCAACCCAGTGCCTGAAGGCTAGTAAGGATTCCCAGGCCGTTCCTGCCTGTTCCTCCAGCTGGGACTGCTTTCTCACCCCCATTCACCTGGCCGACTCCTGCGTGCAGGAGAATCACCTGGGTGCTACACCCGCCCCTGCTTTACCCATTCAATTCTCCTGGGGGGGGGGGACGGGAAGGGAGAAATTCACATTTTAACAAGCACCGGGACAATTTTGATGTAGGTGGTCCTCAAACTGGAAACACAGTCCTAGGTTTTAAGCCCCTGAAGACAAAACTGTGATTTTTTTTTTTGAGAGAGAGAGATAGTGACAGAGTGTGAGACGGAGAGAGGCAGAGAGAGAGGGAGACACAGAATGTGAAGCAGGCTCCAGGCTCTGAGCTGTCAGCACAGAGCGGACACTGCCAGGCTCAAACTCACCAACTGTGAGCGCATGACCTGAAGCTGAAGTGAGATGCTTAACCAACTGAGCCATCCAGGGGCCCCCTGTGATACTTTGAGCCAGGCAGGAGGTATGCATCCAGTCCAGATTTGCTACTTTTGAATGCTTGGGGAAAATGTCGCCCCCTCTGGAAAGAGTTACTGGTTCCCTCTTCTGGCTTTAGGTAATACCAGACTCACAACTACTTCTCCACACTTACCAGGTTAAGTTGAATGATGAAGGCCAGACGTAGGAGGTTTGTCTCTCTACACCCTTCATGTATTAACACATGTCAGCGTTGGAACAGATTAAATGCATGCATGAAAATACAGTAAAACCTGCAGCCTCTTCCTCTCCCAGCCCACAGCAAGTTGCTCAAATATTCTTGTAGAGACTCTGTTAAAGTGGCAGTGTACCCCAGGGGTTAGGAGCACTGCTCCAGAGTCAGACGCTCAGTTTCATTATGGCGTGGCGGGGAGCTGTGGCCAGTCTTTGCCTTTCCACATGTGCTGCTCGGTCAGCGAGGGCCGTTATCAGAGCCTTGGGCCTTGTACTGTCCCTCTTCCGCCCTGCAGGCGAGGACGGTGTCATATTCAGCTCCTTCCATGACCAGTTGTTTGTGGAAAAGAAATAAATGCTAGGAGGCTGCCTCCTAGGTAGGGACTTGAACCTAAAACAAACTGAAGGGCCTGCCTGGACTCTGAACTGAACCCAGTATTAGCTTTTCACAAAATTATGAACTGAACCAAAGTTCCCTTCCCGCCGGGCCCCTCCACCGTGCCGGAAAAGCAGCCAAAATGGTCAGCCATTTCAAAGCAGATCCAAGTCTCAAAGGATCAAATGGCATTTCGAAGAAGGCCCCAAACTGTCCCTGGGGCCAAGGAACAGTTGAAGACATCCTATTTTCCAGGGTGTGCCTGAGGGTTTATCGAATTCAGTTTGAATCAGCTAACATTCCCTGTTGCAGGTCACATACTGGCCTCCCGAGATGAGATGGGGAAGGCCCGATGAGATGGGGAAGGCCCGGAGGCAGGGGCAGACCAGGGCTCCTTAGACCTCCGTGACTGCACTCAGATCTTACCTGAAAGGAAGCCATTCTCCTTGGAACACTGAGGCAGTGAGTGCCTCTAAGACTCAGCCCCTGAGCCGGTGCTTAGAAACCCAGTCACAGTCGCTCCTATCTTGTTCCCGCCCCAACCCGTTTCCACCCCACAGGCTCACAGGGATGGGCAGAGAAGGGGTGAGTAGGGATGTTTATGCAGGGAGGCTCCCGGAGCGCATCGTATTCAAGTCTCATTTTCCAACTGTGAAATGTATGCATATTTTGCATTCTGTTCTCTTGTTTGTTTTTGTAGCACACACACAAACCTTAAAGATGGGTGGAGATGCGCTCTCTTTCCCACCTCCCTCCACGCCCTTCTGACCTCATCTTAACTGCTCTCGCCTTTGCTCTCTACCCCAGCCACACCCGCCTCCTTGCCATCCCTTGACCGTGTGAAACACACTCTGGCCTCAGGTCCTTTGCACTTATTCTCCTACCTCAGTGGAACATTCTTCCCCCAGAATTCTGGCAACTCCCACTCCCCTGCGCCCTTCAGGTCTTTGCTCACATGCCACGCACTCAGAGAGATCTCCCCAACCACCATCCTGTTTGACAGCACAAGCTATTCTATCATCCCACCCTCCAGTATTTCTCTCCATAACACTTACCACCCTCGGTCATATATTTTACTCACTTATTTGTATAGTGTCTGTCTCCCCCGGCTAGAACAGAAACTCCACAAGAGCAGGGATTTTTGTTCGATGTTGTTTATGGCTATATTTCCAGCTCTGAGAACTGCTCATGGCACGCAGTAAAACTTACAGAATGAGTGAATGTTGACACTAAGGTTTCCCGTACCCTTGGCTTACCCTTTGCAGGGTCCTATGTGTGCCCAGTCTGAGACACCAGGTGGTTTGTGTTTGCTATGATTGCCACATGACGAGGAGTCAGGTTTTCCCAAGGACAAGATGGCGCCTCCAGAAAGCTTCCCCTGATGACGCACTTCCCTCCTTCCACTCTTGATGGCGCAGTGTTGTTGACTGATAGTCTGAACCCCCTTTCTATAATTTAGACCGTAGACAGAGGTGGTATGCACGTGGACTCTGGGGCCAGACTGTCTGGTTTCCGGTCCTGGCCCTGTCATTGACTAGCTCAGCACAACATATTTGATCTCTCTGTGCTTCAGTTTCTCATCTGTAAAATGGACCTAAAAATTTTATCTATTTGATAAGATCATCGATAAATGAATTGATGTTAAATGCTTGCAATGGCGGCTGGCGTGTGGTAGGTGCCCCGTAGGGGCGGTTGGTGCCATACCCATCTATTCATAAGCTTGACCACTAAGAAGAGCCCACGCTGAGGGCCAGACACCTAGCTGGTTGTTTTCATATCCGATTACATCTATTCCTCACAGGTTTCAGAATCATTTTCATTGTCCCCATTTTACAATTGAGGAAACAGGGTCAGAGGAGATAAAAAGAAACCGTGCAGCTGGGAAGATGGTGGGGCTGAGATTCGAACCCACGACGGTCTCTTCACCACACTGTACACTAAGTGGGTACAGGGAAAGGTAGGCTCCTACTCATCCTTCAAGACCCAACTCGTATATCCCCCTGCTCCACGGAGTGTCTTCCCACCATTGCATTGGTCTGGATTCTACACTGCCTGTCAAGGAGGTCAAGGTGGTGCTGCTGTCATCAGCGTGGGCTTCCCCAGCAAACTGCCTGGGTTCAAACCCCAGCTTGGGTAAGATACTCAAGTAGGTTCCCTCATCACTACAATAAGCAACACAAGAGAACCTAACTCTTAGAGTCATTGTGAGGATTAGATGAGATAATATTGGTACAAAGTATTTAGTAAGAAGCATTTGACAAATGTTAGCCATCGGGGCACCTGGGTGGCTCAGTCGGGTAAACACCTGACTCTGGGTTTCAGCTCAGTTCATGATCTCTGGTTCATGAGATCGAACCCCCACATCAGGCTCTGCGCTGACGGTGCGGAGCCTTCTTGGTATTCTCTCCCCTCTCTCTCCTTCTCTCTCTCTCAAAATAAATAAATAAACACTTTTTAAAATGTCTCTATTACTACTATTCATATTGATGTGTTCTTTCTTGGTATACTGTAAGATTCCTGGACACTTAACATATACATCCTTACTTGTATATGTTAAATATTGCAAAATATTTTAACTTCCCAGCTGTGCGATTTGAACAAGTTACCTTCTCTGTACCTCGGTTTCTTCATACAAAACGATGATAAGTATAATACCTACCTCATAAGGTTGTTATGGAGATTACACAGGTGAATAAATGTAAAGCACTTAACACACTGCCTGGCATATACTAAGTGCTCAGTAAACATTAGTGGTTATGGATGCCCTGTGCCTGGCATATTATATAGAATAATAATAATCAGACTAAGTGAAAGAATAAATCAAATAAATGTCAAACATTGCTTTTTAACTTCCTATCTCCTAAATTCAGATTACTGTTCCTCTCACTGCGCACATAATAGGTGTTCAATTGTTCTTTGGTGATGCCAATCAATCGGCTATGGAAAATCCCAATGCAGCTTTGAATTTCAGCTATGTCCCCATGATGTGAATTAGGTCCTATAAAATCTTGCTAACTGTCACTTAGCCATTATTCTGGCTAAAGTTTAACCTGAATGCTGCATCCATAGGAGCACCCATGTCTGCAGCCTCCCGATAGATGTGGGCTCACCAGGAGGCATCAAAGTCACTCTGCAAACACAGGAGCTGGACACATGTTTCAGTTCCGCCTTCCCAGGCTCTAGGGATAGAGCTCCAGGGAGTGGGTCCAAGGGCGGGCATGTTCTTCCTGGCCACAGGCCCCGGTAGATGAACCTTCATTACGAAAAGGACCATCC